GGTTAGGTCAGTATGACACTAGTTAGTTTTTTCCAGCATCAATTGTGGAAGATTGACCTGGATAGTTTGAAGATAAGCCAAGTTTTCCTGGCACTCCAAGGAAGCATTTTTAATGCAATCTGTCAGGTGTCACTTACCTAAACATCAACACTGAATGTGTCTATAGAAAATGCAGCAAAGAAAGCCTAAATGGTTCAACTATGTTGAACCAACCCCCCCAAAAATAATCTCTGGAGCTAAAGTAACCATAGTTCAGTTCTTATTTTAGCTCCATGTGGATGCACAGGATGGGTCAAAAGGAAAGTAGCAAAGGGGAATCTGGCAGCACATTTGTGTTGACCAAGGTGGCACATGGAGAACCGTCACATTTTAGGTGCAATGGCTAGCTCTGAACATTTGAAAACTGCTGAAGTAAATCCCATGGTTTGTGTGGCTCACAGACGTGATGTGCCAGTGTAAAAAATCATTAATCTGTGGGACAGGTCACTTACGTTTAAATATGGAGATCCCAGAAGAATCATAACTTCATCTATGAGTCTTAAGAGAGTGAGAAATGTTGGGTCCTTATAGTCAAACCTGTCTCCAAACAGCATGGCAAAGGTGATGTTGATGGGAGCACAGTTGAAGGACGGCAGGGTGAAAGGTTCCCCTGCAACGGGAGGAGGACGGGAATGCTGTGAGATGTGGAGCAGTTGTGACACTGTATGAGGTTGTACAGCTCTGTGATGCTTTCCAGCTCACCTTTGAAAGATTTGATCCTCTCAATGAGGAAGTGAAGCTCCTCAAAAATTCTCCCTTCTATCACCTGTTTCCCCATGCCGAGGTTGCGCATGCTGGACACGGTGAATCTCCGAGTTGTTCTCCACAGCTCCCCGATGGAGAAGAACAGACCTGGGGAGGCCGTGAGACATGGTGCTGGGCTCAGGCATGGAGGAGCCCCACCACACCAAACAAAACAGGACTGGATGAGGAGGGATCTCCACAAGTGTTTCTGCTGCCCAGTTTCCCATGGATTTAAGGACTAAGGGTCTCCCATTTCTGTGTGCCCCGTCCCTATAACCTCTCAGCTGCATTTTCCCAATCTATCTGAGCCTGTAGTTTGAGGAAAACAAGCTCCCTCCCAAGCCAGTTACCCCAGCCCTCTCCTGAGTGGCAGATAAGCAGGGATGGCTTTCAGACCAGTACTGGTTGGCTGTAGAGCTGGAGGGAGATGTTGGTTTAAGTCAATCATGCGACATTTCCAACCCCACTGTTTACCAGTCTAAGGCCTCAAGCAACAACCTTGTATCTCTGAAGCTTTTCCCTTTGTCCTATTCCAGTCATAAAGGTGTTTTATCTATGTGTGATGGAATAACTCAGTCTTCTCAACCCTGGTCAGTGCCCAGCTGTTTTACTGAGATTCCCAGCAATGCTGTATTTTCAGCAGTGGCAAAAATACGGACATTTTTGTGGAGGTTTCTGAGCTCATGCTTCGATGATCACTAAAACCTCCAAGCAGGGATGGGTATTTCATCCCATCAAGAGTGCTGTAAAGAAAAAACTGGGTCAATAATCAAAAAACTATCTCAGATTGTGTCAGTTGAAAAGCTGGATTCCAGCACTTCACGTCTTCATCTTGGCTGTGAGGCTTTTATATGTTTATTTGTCTAGAGTAACCACTGTTTTAAAGCAGTGTAGTTTGAATTTGGAAAGCTAACCTTTTTCTTTAAAAATCTCAAAAACAAATTTCTAAACTTCAATTTTTAATTTTTCTCTAATACATGCAATTTTATCTGGATCATTCCTTTTCTGAGAACAGCTTCACAGTCAACAAATTGGCATTTTCTGGAGAAAAAATGTTTCATGGCAAAATCTGTGACCATTGTTACTTAACAGCCCCTGAGAACTTCCATCTTTGGGTCACCTCTAAATGCCTCAGACTTGGGCTGAGAAGATAAGTGTGAAAGGACTTATGGTGCAATACTGGCAGTCTCCCACAGGGATATTTTACATGTAAATTAGCTCTAAAAAATACTTTTCTCCCCATCGATTCCTTTTATTTATGTAGCGATAAATTCATCTATTGATATTATGGCTGGGTAATTTTATTTCTAATTCTAATCCCATCTTCAGCCTGTGACCAGCATGCAAAGCTGCATTTTGGATTTAAAGATAAAGCCTCCGGTGAAGCAGAGGATGAACAAGGCAAAAAGTCCCCTGAAATACACAGGGATGTAGAGTTGCCTTGGAAAAATTATGGGATTGTTTGTGGGGGTGAGTTTCCAGCCTCAGTCTATTATTTCTGCCCGAACTTACTTCATGTTGGTGCACTTAAGAGCCTTTGTGGGAAGGCAAAGCTATAGGGACTGACAATGTCCAAAACTGAGGCACCTGGCAGTGGGAGAAAGGGAAAACCCCTACAGCTCCAAACAGCCAAACCACTTAGTCCAAAGTCCCCTGAAAACATGAGGAAGGTTCATAAATGTGGAGGTGGCAGTGAGCTGCTCACATCGACACCTTATGGAAATTAACCCCAGAATTACCACAGTGCCTTTAAAAATCCCACTCCTCACCCTTGAAGTTTTAGGATGGATCAGCTGCAAGTGCATTAGCAAAAATTATGGAAATGCAGGAGTCACTGAGAGCAAGTGAGAAAAGCCAAATGTCTTCTGTCAGCTTGGCTTCAGAAGGGCCCGAGGGGGATGTTTAAAAGCCGGGCTCCGGGGGTGCACAGTTAGGCTGGCACTCAGCGGTGGTGTCGTCCCTCCCACCCACCCCCATCATTGCTCTAGTACCGTTTCCGTTCTGAATTTGGTCAAATATTGGGATGGATGGTCTGTCTACAAACTCCTCTGTGTAGTTCACAAGCGCCTCCCGCACAACTTCGTACCCGGTCAGGACCACAACTTTCTGGAACCCAAAGTGGAGGGTGAAGATGGGGCCGTATTTTTCCGCAAGCTGAAAAAGAGGCGAGCTGTGATGGTCAGCAAGGGAGGGAGCGTGCATGCAGCAGGCACCTGCTACTTTCTGAAAGGACATATTCCTTCCTGGCAACCTGCTGGGAATGGCTGCAGAGCCACTACCTGCAGAGCAGCACCCATGAGCCGGAGCTCATCACAGTCAAACACCAGGCATCCTCTACAGACGCCTTGCTGGCATCCATATGGAATTCAGGCTTCTTGCCATGAAAGGACCCCCACCCCCATCAGTTCATTATTAATCTGGTTCTGCTGTTAAGGAGAAAATAAATTAAAAAACAATAAAACCCACCTAGAGTTAAAGACTGGACCTCAAATGGCAACAAAAGTTGGCAAACCGGAGAAAAATTTAAAAAAGAGAAGACAGTTCAGTACAAATAATGATGCTGTTGCACAGGAAAATTTTGGTAGCACTCCTGCATCCCTGCTACTAGACCAGATAATCCATGTATCTCCTGGGCATTGCACTGGGAACTGTGGGAGGCTTGCTCCTGCCCACCTCTAGCACATCACTGCCTCTGTATCTTGCTTCCTGGCAACTTGAAAACAGCACTTGGGGATAGTCAAGAAGAGTTTTGGCTGAGCTGAAGCAAGGTGATGGGAAGCCACAGTCCAAACCCGCTGCCTAAGCAAACACAAGGTGTATGTGTGCAGCCTTAGCCTGTGCTGGGAAGAGGGGACACCCATCAGTGCCCAACCAACACACACCAGTCGGTGCCTGCTGCTCAGTGCACTCACCATTTTTGCTCTCTGTGGGGTGAGATGGAGGGATAACTGCTCTGGAGCAATCCCAAAGCAAAGGCAAACACAGGCAATACCAAATACAGAGTAGCAAGGGACAAAAGCATGCGGAGGTAATTCCGAAACGCCGTTCAGAGGCTGCAGCAGCGTCTGCCCAGCCCTGCTGGGTAAACTGACCCCAACCCTGACTTTGCCCATAACAACACCAGGTGCTGGAGCCTCACCCCACAGCAGCACAAACCCCCCAAGGTCTGCTCCCAGAGCACAGCCCGTGTTTGCTGAGCGCTGGTGTGACGGGAGCCGTGAACCGGCGCTGTCTGTTTGCTCACTCTCTCCGTGACCCTGGCGCGGGTCGGTCCCCGCGAGTGCCATCTGCTAAAGCCAGGCTCAGCAGCCCACAGAAACACCACAGGCTGTGCCAGCTTCATCTTGCACCGAAGGACACTTTACCACCGTAAGTGGGGTAAGTTGTCATAATTACAGGTTAGTAGAAGAGCTTACAGGCTATTCATTCCGGTTCCTTAGCGCAACTTCCCCATCCCTCTCCTGTACTGCCGTCCAGATTTTAATGCGTGTCCAATTCATCAAGGGGATTTTGCCTTGGAGCATCTGGATTTGGCCCACTCCGCAGCAGTTTTGGGGTCACTGCTTTGTGGAATTCCTCTTGCCAGATCTCCAGGGCGTATGGGAGGGAAGCAATTTCATTTCATGTTAGTTACATCCTAATGCTTTAGAAGATTTCTGGGTGTCCAAGCTGTCAAATTAATATTTCAAATCCCACAAGCATTACAGACTTCATGTACATCAAAACAATTACACGAAGAAATCCCATATTACCCAGAGGTCTTTTTTTAATGGTTGATTGCTCCTAAATTACATTGCACCAACAAAGAATTGATTAGAAGAAGCCCAGAAAGATATTATAAAGCAATTTTCACACCTTTACAATTTAGTTTGAATTAAAAAAGACAAAAAAGTTCTCCCTGATACATCCCAAGCAGCTTTAAAATCTATGAGGGTCTGGGTTAGGGGGTTTTTGTCCTACCTTCATTAGTGATTTATCTTGCCTTCTAAGATCCACCAAGTGCAGGTTACCAATGATCGGAAGAGGAGTTGGACCAGGAGGTAATTTGAAAGCTGAATTTTTATAGCCATTTGAAAAATAGACTACAGCTAATAATACTGTTGCACAGAGCAAACAAATTAATGCAGGATCAGAGAGAAACGAAATTAAAAAAGACATTTTTGTTTTAGTAATAATCTGGTTTTGGGGGGTTATAAGCAATAAAAATGCAGTGGCACTGTTCAGTTTCTGCCAGCTGGCTTTCTGTTTGCTCTCTGCGATTGCTACAAGCACTCGATTCTTATTAAGGTTTGTAGAGTACCTAAATAAATACTGCATACTCCACCCTCTTTAAACACCTCAGAGAATGTGGTCTAAGCAGTTTGCAAAGCCTGTCCAGAAGTAAAGAGAGTTTCAAATTACAAACCCATGCATGTGTGTGCAAGAACATATACATGGGAAAAGGTGCTTGGCATTCCTCTATAACCTCCTCCTCCCCGAGACCTCAAGGTCCTTCATTAGCAGCACTATGACCCTCCAAGCACTCTGCTGACACAAAGAAATATAAAGGGTTTTTATGAATCCTATTAGAACCTCCAGATTCAGACTGAGGTAGGATTTGAGATCTCTGTGTTACTAGAGAGAAAAAATAGTATTGTTATGGGAGACTTTGGCTTTCTTGATGTCAAGTGGAGATCAAAGGTTGTTAATAATGGTAAAGCCTATGTATCCCTGGGGGCTTGCAGCCCATAAATTTCTTCATAAAGTCAGCTCTGAACTGCCCAGAAGGGATGTGATTTCAGACTTTGTGTCTGAAGTAGAGGACATGTAATAGCTAGCCATGGAAAATTAGCTTGGATCAAGTGATCATGAGTGGATTCATGAGTGGAATGGAAAGACAAAATTAGATTTGAAGCTTCTGGGAAGACTCTTCATTTTGCAAAAGCAGCTCCTAAGAGATAGAGGGAAGATGTTATGGAAGTTAATGAAGCCAGCTGACCTGGCAGGCTCCAGAAGGGGAACAAGACAGGAGAATGGAATGATTTTAAGTCAAAGATGCTAAACACCTGGAGCTTGCATCCCTCATAAAGGTTTAAATCTTGTAGAAAATAATTGAGGTCTACCTGGTTGAATAGTGGTTTTAAGGAGGAAGTTGGGGATAAACAGGAATAAGCTGGAATAATAAACATGAATAAGAGAAGAAAGAGCTCTCTTACATGATGAGGAAGCGCAAGGCTAAAGGTACATTTGTCCAAAGGTTAGATCATATAAAAGCCATTATTCAGCAAATATGGTCCCTCAGCCTTCCCAAATGCAAAGAAGGCAGAGAAGGAAAAGGACCTGATCCAGAGTGGGTCATAGCTATGGTAAGCAGGGTCCCAGAGCAAACAGTGCCAGGTTGCAAGCTGGAGCTCTCTGTGTGGTGTGGAGATGTTACAGCACAACAGCCACCCAGAAGCAGAAGCAGTGAGTGTGTCGCAATTCTGGGATTTATTTTTTTATTAGTTTCCAAGAAATGGGCTGGAGGCAACGGTTTCCCCCAGAGCATGCCTAGGATGACTCAACCCCACCTGCTTCAGTGAGCGAAGAGGCAGAGGGGCTGTAAAGACAGGCAGGAAAGATCAGGGCTGGCACAGGACGCAGAACGTGGGCACTGTGATGAGAACTTGCACATGCTCTGCACCCTGGGCAAAATGTTTGTTTCTGCAGGGTTTTCTCTGATCGGCAGCACCCTGTGGTGCAAAAGCTGGCGCTCTCCTGGTATTTCATCCTTGCCCTGGGAACCTCTGAAATCATAAAAAGGCCTTTCAGAAAGAGACTTAAATTATCTCTGAAAAGCCAGGGGGAGTGTACTGTGTTTTTTTTTCAAGCCAGGCTCTGAGTGCAATGCATTAAAATGACAAAGGTAAGTAAAACTCTTGCGATGACAAGAAATTCCTGTCTCAGTAATGTGTCTGGTACGTGTTTCGCTCCGGAGCCGCGTTGCTACGTGCTGCCCTGCCTGAGCGCACAGAGCCGAGCATGGAACACCTGCCAGGCGCTGACACTGCTCCGGGTGCATTCCTGGGGCAGCCGGGCCCCTCAAGGTGCTCCTGGACGGGTTGTCCTCCATCCCTCGTGCCCTCGTGGCACTCTGCCACCCCATGTGAACCTAGTGGTGCTGGTGAGGACGTGGAGCACTGGGCATCAGCCTCCTAAAGTGCAACCAGAGAGCCAGCCTGGGGAGAGGCAGCCAGTGAAACAGTAGTCCTGCATCCTTTAACTTAAATCCTCCTAAATCTCTACGCCTCCACTGCCAGTCCCATTCTTGACCATCAGTGCATCCAGGACTGCAGGCTCAGATAACTCCTGATGGTTTTTACAGTGATGAGTTCCTTGTAAGCAAGGGCAAGGGACACAGGGGACCACTGTAAGGGGCCACATCATGGAGCCATGCAGAGCCACATCCTGACTCACACAGCAATTGCGATTTTCTGGAATTAGACATTCAATTATTTCCTTTGAGCTGTTTGTGGTTATGAGTATTGCTCACTCTTTGTGTTGTTAAACATGTCTTAGCCGCATGTGCTGCCCAAGGATCCCTGTGCTCACCTCTCTAGCGTGGGTGTATTAAAGGTGGTGCAGTCCAACTTTATCAGTTTGACCCAAAATCAGCTTCATACTGTAACACCAGATAGATCAACAGCAACAGAACAAAACATTTAATGATTAAGTGGGTGATAAGGTCAGGCTTGAAGTAGTTAGACTGCAAATAGAGCAACAGCAAAACAAAAGTAAGCAGGCACAGCAGCGAAGGCTTCCTTGTTGCACAGTTTGCCCAGCAGACTCCTTGAGCTGGAGCTGGCCCTGTGGTACAGCACGTGTACAAGTGCAATACCAGGACAAGTACAAGGTACAGTATCAATGTTAGAGTGCTGCTTTAAGTTGTGTGAAATACAGCTAGTGAGAAGAGTCAGTGGCTTGGCCAGAGGCCACCCTACCTTGTCATCCCTTCATATTCTTTCTCTTTTCTTTCCTTCTATTTGCAGCACAGATCAGCTTCAGATGACAGCAACCTTAATTTTATGTTGTAGATTTGCCATAACTGCCCCCTCAGTCTCTATAACTTTGTTTCTCCCTTTTTTTGTTTCATCCTAACCTTCCTTTCCTGCTTCCAAACCAACACAAAAGCATCTCCAGTGACCCACTTCTCCCTAACCCATGTGTGGTTCCCTGCCTGTTTCACAGCACACAAAGCAGCCTCCTCTCCTGTACCTGCACTCCCTTTCAGATTTCACACATGTATCATGCTTCCCTCAATGGGTGTAGCCTTGCAGGTACCTCAGCTTGTTCCTACTCCTAATGGATGCTACATGAAATAAATCATCAATTGTAGTAATCAAACAGCTGTTCTAGAACAGCCACAGTCTCTGGGGTGTCCCCAGCTTTCCACAGAGACTCCCATACAACAACTTAATGGCACAGTTAACCAAACTGGTAACAAAGTCTAACCTGCTTCTCCTTCCAGACTCTGTTATCAGTTTTATATCTGTTTCCACAATGACAAGTGAAGAAGAGGGCTGAACCTTTCTCAGCTCTCTGATGGAGCGTGGCAGTCCTGCTGCCCAGCCCCAGGCTGCATCGCCCTCCCACTGCCATGGACTTGTGTCGTTTTAGCCACACTGATTCAGAAACTCTTCACTTGCCATGGCTGATCATTTTATGCCAGTTTAGGGATCTATGATGGCCCAGTAAGGGATTGGACAAGTGCCAGAGCCAGGATGAAGACAGGAAAGGTGAGGGAGTTGTAGAAATGTCTTTCTTAGCAGCAGCAGAAAGCTGCTAAATTGGCCCCATCATAAATAGGCTGTTCATCATGAAGTGCCTGGTGTGAGTTGGAATAAACCCACTTCCCAAACCACTTAGATGTTTTCTGATAACTGTCCTGTGCCTGGGTCTTGGCATCAGCCCACGTTACACCCTCATGTCTAGGACTCTGTAATAAAGATAAGGCAGGTTGTATGGCACAGTGGAAGCTCAGTCTGAGGCTCAGCTGAACAACCATCCTGAGGAGATTTCCAGATCCATTAAGTGTCTGTTGTCTCCAGCTGGGCCATCAGTAATTAGCTCTGCTGTAGAGCTTGGACTTTGGGCTGAGAAATTCCCCATGGAGGCTGTCAGGGGAGAGCCTCTAATGGGTTACATCTATAGAGGAGGCCTGAGGGCATTTCATTCTTTCAAACAGTCCTGAAAACAGCATCTCTGGTGTGCTGTTCCAGGAATGAATCACACTGTTTCTAAGAGCAGTATTCAGGGCTGTCTGAAGGGTTTGCATCAGAGACACTTCAAGAGCTGTTGGAGAGAATGGCATGAATGAGAAAAATGCAGTGCCTGGTGTCTTCCTTGCCCTGAAGTGCAGGTACAGACATCTTTTCCCCCCTGTAACTACACTTGCTTTCAAGCTTGAAGTGTTCCCTACTCTACTGCCATGTTGTTTGATCATTCACAGGGCACAGCACAAACCAGGTGAGGCATGGGGTTCAAGGTAAAGCCGACATCAGCAGTGAGATCCAGGTCTGACTTATCCACTCCTGGAGGGGGGCGAAAAACAAATTTGCGGAGCAAGCCCCCAAAAAAGAGGAACAGCTCCATTTTGGCCAGTCCTTCACCAAGGCAAGCCCTTCGTCCTGAAAACAACCAGGAGAGAAGTTAATGATCAGTACTGTAACTGTTAATGTTGATCTCTGAGACCTAAACTGGAGATACAGTCTGTAAGAGCAGACTGCTGAGGTAGGAAATTTTCCCTTCCTTCTCTCTGTGTATTAGAGGTGCTACTGACTTGGTCTCAAGCTACACAGAGGGCTGTAGGTATATGAAATTATTCAGTGACTGTGAGTAAATCAGTGTCTCCCAGATCTCCCAGAGAAGAGAGCCTACAACAATGGTGGACAGAAAACATGACTGGAAATCCCTTATCCTCTGTTCTATATCCCTGGCTTTCAAACCTTCCTGAATCTGGGGGAACTGCCATTAGCTTAGCCCAAGGTGGTACGCACACAACCCCCTCTCACCTACGGAGAATGGAATAAATGCTTCTCTCCTAATGAAGTTCCCATTGGCGTCCAGGAAATGGGAAGGGTTGAACTGATAAGGGGTTTTCCAGTGTAACTCATCATTCAGAGCAGAGGTCAGCAGTGGAATAATCTCAGTACCCTGAAAGGGATCAAAGAAACACATGGAAGAGGAGATCACTCTCCTAGTTGAGCCAGACTACCTTCTTTTTTCTAATGTGAAGAGGCAAGTAAGATTGAGCCATGACAAATAGAACTTGGGGTGCTTCTCTGCCCCGTTGTGGTTCTGTCTGTTATCAGTAGCTGCTGTTTTATTTTTTGGCCCACAAAACATTCCTTTCTTACAGAGTCAGATCTTTCAAGAAAGATGCTGAAGAAGACGCTCCACATTTTACATAAAAGATTCAAACCAGTGCAATTTAATTATGGTTATTCAAGATTCAAACAGCTGTAACAGACCACAGTCCATTGTATGCTATAACAGTTACCCTGGATCCAAGACAAAGGGTCACAGATTAAAACGTTCCTCATGGTGTCTTTAGTTATTTGTGTTTTTCTCTGTCTGCTTTGAAGAAAAGTGTAAGGAATCTGCACAGCATAAGTTGCTGTCCTCAAAGCTCACCTTAGGAATCACATAGCCTCGGAAATTCACATCTCTGGGAGTTGATCGTGATACACCCATTGGGACAATATTGGCAAACCTTTGTATTTCATGTATCACTGCTTCTGTATAAGGCATTTTTTTCCGGTCCTCCAACTTAGGCAGCTCTCCTGGTTCAATGACACGGTTCATTTCTTCTTGAATCTTTCCTTAGAAGGAGGAAAGGATTAAGAAGCTGATAACAATCTTACCTTGCACCTGAAATGACTTACAGTTTGGCAAAGACGAAGAAAAGGGAAAACTATGAATATTTGGGAAGAGCAGAAGTGGGTAAGCCAGGGCATGGCATGGCTTTTTCAGGTTTGTTGTTGAGCCAAGGGAACTTGAACAGAGTCTCTGCAGTCCATCCCATGCCTGATTCTTACTACGCACCTTTGTTACCCCATAACCTTCAACAGAAACCAGATCAGAATCAGCCCCTGAGGAGACCTTTAGTGACGTAAGCCCATAGCCTGCAGGTGAATAATCACGGGGGAAGCTTTACTGTAACTGTAGACTGCCCCTTAGCCTCTCCCACTTGGCTGGGCCTGGTTTATTGCAATCCAGCTGTAAAAAATTCCTTTGTAAAGTCAACGGTTGTTATCACTCTCAGAGCACTCGGAATCATTACTCTAGGCAGCACTGACTGAGTTCCACTCCCTTCCACAACCAAAGCCCGAAGCATGCAACAATGGATTGTACAAGAGACTTGCCAGCCTTACTCTGAATTTCTGGGTATTTCATCATCAGAAGGAGCCCCCATCGCACAGTTGTAGATGTAGTTTCAGTCCCAGCAGCAAAGAGGTCCAGGGTTGAAAACATCAGGTTTCCATTGTCGAACATAGTGTGGGGTTTCTTTGACTCCTTCAAAACATAACGGTAATGGCCATAAATTCTACAGCAAGTGACACCTATCTGTGACTGTGTTGCCACCATTTTTATCTCTCTGTGACTCTAAACGTGCTGGAAAACTAAACATTTAGCATTTTAGCAATACGGCCTGTGCTGTGTGGAATTTGTCTGGTCCCAAGCATATGGGCAATACCCAGTTCTAGATATTAAATTAGTTGGAATTTATTTATTGCAACACAGTTTGTAACTGTACCGTTCTTGCAGGAAGGTTTGGGATGATCTCCTCCTTGTGTGTGCTGAGTGGTAACTTATGTTACCACATGGGACATCATGACAAGCTTTTAACCAGCAGTTTCAGTGGAGCCATGGAATAAGTCCAGCACAGCTCACTGTGAGTATAAGGTTTGATATATCCTGCTCACTGCAGTCCTTGTGTCTCCACGTATACCCAGTCCCTGACAGATGGCCAGTCCTAAGAGTAAGTCACAGCTAAGAGAAGAGAAAGACTCTGAGACTCAGCTTTAAAGTACCTGTTGTTGCTTTACCAGAAAGGCATCAACAAAGCCCGTTAAGTCATTTTCATTAAGCTCCTTTTTGTGTTGCTGGAAGAGCTTCTGGAGAAAAGCATTCAACTCACTGATATTTTGTAGCACAGTCTTGGAAGCTCCAGAGAGAAATCCAAGGGATGGGTAGAAATTATATAACTGTGAAGCAAGAGAATTTTTACAGTTAGTTGACATTTTGAACACATACTGGTATCTCAAATCACATTGCTATGTGTTTCAGATACAGAACCAGAGATGTGTTCTGCACGGGCCAGCTGGTTGATAATGTTCCTGTTTTCAAGAAGCAAGTTGTGGGAGGCCAGGAGAACAAACATGGACAACTGGATATCCCCCCAAAATCTAAAAGTTACAACATAAAATAGAGCTCTTACCAGCACCATAGGGGAGCCCAACAGCTTAGTATTTTGATTTATCATCCCCAGCAAAGTTAGAAATACAGGATCATCATATTCAAACCTCTCTCCAAACAATATCGAGCAGATGACATTGGATACAGCATTGTTGAGTATCATTTTCGTATCAAATGGTTTCCCTGTGTTTCAAGCAATTAAAAGAAAGGACAATGGGATTATGCTTTTTTCAGTCTGATTTCCCATGGAAATACAGTCCTGAGCTCCCAAAGAAAACTCATTCCCCACCCAGAATGCATGGCAGGGAACTCAGTTTCAGTGTTTTAAGGCCTCGGTTCAATAACCTACTGCAGAATATGCTGAACTTTAACCACGAGATACCATTTACTCAGAGTTAAACTTTCATTAATTTTTATTGTTCTGCTAGACCTGTTTTCTGTCTCTGGATGAAAGACTTGACACTCACCATGATAGGATTCAAAATATTTGATAAGGGAATTTACTTCCTCCAGGATTCGGATCTCAAGGGTTCTCTTTCCCATTCCAAAATCTCGCAGTGTGGACAAGGTAAACCTTCTCATAGTTTTCCATAGCTCTCCATGGCTGAATGCTATACCTGAAATAAAGATGTAACATCCTGTGTCATCTGTTGTTCATAAACATTGGTAAGGCTTTCTTACACACTGGTACCTCTTTCAGATCACAAAGAGTGATCTGTATGATGGTGATACTCTCTGCTGTAAGAAGGTACTGAAAAAAACTACAAAACCTACCCAATCAAAAGGTCAATTACCATTTCCTTGCGTCATTTTCCTAAATATGGGTATTTCTGCCCTCTCTCCAAATTCTTCAGCATGATTTAAAAGGGCGTCCTTGATGGTTTCATATCCAGCCAGTACCACGACTTTCCTGGGTCCAAAATGCACAGTGAAGACGTTGCCATATGTCTTGGATAGCTGACAAGGGGAATAAATACGTTCATTCAAAACCAGATCGGGACTCAAACGCTACTACAAGCCATCCTTGGTGGTTTTCAGACCAAAAGGAGCCTCTTAGCCCCGCCTGAAGTCTCCAGGTGCTGCTGTAATTCAAGTAATGAGCAACAGCTATCGATTGCCAGCATCTCAGCTTGCACCCTGTTTGCACAACAAGGTGTCTGCTATCACTGCTTCTATCAGAGGAGTCAATAAAATGCCATTGCATTCCTGTGGTGTTCTGTAGTAACAGGCCAGTGCAGTGATACCACACTGGGAGGCTGGTTGGAGAATGCTGTGGCAGGCAGGCCTGTTTATTGTAATGCTGTTGACCTGAGGCAAGTGGGCGTGCACACACCTTTGAGGCTGAAGCCACAAACACTGCAAAAACAAAGCTAGACAATAACTCTTTCTTTCAGGACAGCACTTGTCTCTAATTATGGCAAGGTGCGTAGTGATGCAGTCATTGCAGAATTATTTGCTGGCCACCAGGAACTGGAATCCAACTAGGAAGCATGTTCTTGTAGATAATGCCACAGGAACACTAGGCTTTTATAGCAAATTAAATATGGATCATCTGTTACACAGAAAGGTAGCTTTGACAAGCTAATCATTCATTTGGTATTTTAGACTTCGTTTAAACACACTTCAAGCCACCAGCTCCAAATGTCTTCTTGTTTCTGATGTGCCTGGCTTACCATTTGCTATGCATTAGATACATTCCACAAATTGAATTTCAGATTAGAAGCAGCTCCTGTTATTACACTAGACAAATTGAATTTGTTTTCATCAAATGCTGGTTTGACGGCTTGGGAGATAACATTAGCACTGGTTCTTTCATCTCTGGCAGCTCACAGAGTGTGCAGCAGAGCCAGGGGCAGGGAATCACAGCTGCCTCCGAGCCTTCCTTTGGTCATTTCTTTGCATTAGTGCTTCTTGGCATCCACTCTGTTTTTACTCAGAAACACAAGTATTGGATGTGGAAGGCCTGAAAGCCTAAATAAAGCTGCTTGGTGGATTACAGGAAATGAGTCTGGTGCCATCACATGACATTTGTATTATAAAATCTCACAGTACTGCCAAAAATAGTTGCTCTTTCATACTGACATCCTCAAACATGCCTAGGATCAGCTGGGAGCTCAGTACCAGAAGCCCATCAAAACTGGTCTCTGCACAATCCTCTGCACTGTAAATCAGGGTGGATGAGCACTGCATGCCTGCTAGAGGAATTCCATTATTTTGCAGCCCAGGATGCCCTTTTTTCTACAATTAACTGGAGGATTTCAGTGTCTGCACTGCCCTCTCACTGCAGATGTTCAAGTGGCTGAAGGAGTTCACTGCAGACTGGCTTTCCTCCATCACAGTGTCCAGTAAGCACATACAGGGCACGTGACAATGGCATCTCCATTTCTCTAGTTGCATTTCTCACTTTGGGAATTGCACACTTTCCCCCTCCCTGCTCGTCCAGCCCCTACCTCTGTCAGCGACTGGAATGGCTTTTTCAGGTCCACCACGTTCAAGTTTCCGATCAGAGGAAGAGGCCGTGGCCCAGGAGGCAAACTGCAAGCTGACTTCTTCGAGCTGGTGAGAAAGTAAAGGAGAGCAAACAGCCCTGCTGCCAAACAGAGCAGCGAGCTGGAGCCCAAGTACTGCAGGAAACTCTGCATGGCCATGTCCAAATCCAAGTGTGGGCATGAGCGTCTTGGGGTCCCTTTATAGCCCTTCTGTCATTTCCTGAACACACCTTCTGGGGAAGCAGCTTTGTGCAGAGAAAAGGACTCTGTGGTCTTGTTAACATCCATTTAGACCAGATGTACTTCATTATGCTGACGAATAAACCACCCTGTTTTATTCTGAGCCATGGATTATTGTAATCAGGAGCTCCTGTTTCATCTATAACACTGGGGCAAGGTGTTTGTTTTCCAGTGAAAATCTGTGTTATGGGCATGTTGTTCTCTGCATTATTTCAGGGGCAGAACTCAGGGATAGGACCCAAGCTGGATTGCTGCCATGGTGCCAGGTCACAGGACTCAGATGGACCACTGGTGATGCAATGGAGGAAGTAGGACACAGGAGGGAAAGCCCATAATAACGCATAGACCAGGGTGCAGCTGGCAAGCAAGCCCTCAGGAAAGACAAGACTGACCATGGAGGAGTTGGAATGGTGGTTGCATGAAGTTGTGCTAATTCAAAATTGCTGTTGGTAGTAGATCTATTTACAGGTGACAGTTCTGATTCTCTTTGCTTTCCTGCCACCCCAGTGAAACCACCTCCTTGAGCAACACAGTGTTTTCGTTGCTAGAGTTGTTATTGATCTTTGTCCCAAAAATTGTCTACAAGCAATTCCAAACCACTCCTGAAACCACTTCAGTCATTATTTTGCAGTTTACTGTCCAGAGGACTGTGTGTCCACGTCTGGCTCTGTGTTTGGTGATGACTCCTTCTGTTTGTGGGCAGATGCATGCAATCCTCTAGGAGAAACCGTCCCCTCCAGGCAGTCCTTCTTGCCTAGACTGGGAAAGAGATCCTGAACCTTTGTAACCTGGGAGGAGGCAGGATCAGAGCGCAGCTGTCCAGGCAGAGGATGGAGGCTGCCTGGGCAGCTGTTGCAGAGGGGGTGCCAGGCAGGAGGAGCACACAGCAGCAGTTTTTTGGCCCTCCAGGTGCAGTGAGTCATGCACCATGCCAGGGCAGGGGCCTGCAAGAGCCCGCGTGCCCAGGAGACAGCTCCCCAAGAGCCACCTACACTCTGCATCCTGGGGGGATGACAGCACAGCTGACGTGATCATGAACAGGAGGCCACTGCTGAAAAGGTAACTCTGGGGGAAAGAGCCAACTTGACGGTCTATCACCTATTCTCAAGTGGGGATATTTTGTTCCCCAGTTGCAGATTCTATCAGATTACTGGGCTGTGCTGCTGTTCACCCCTTTAGAAATCTTTAGCTTTAATAATACTTTTGCTAGAATTCTCCAAGGCTCCCGGGTGCAGGCTCCACTGATGGAAAAATGATGATTATTTATTAATAATAATAAAAGTACATTAGCCGAAGGCAAGGGGAATCAATAACTCTAACTAGATTGACATGAAAAAGGTGTCTGCTCATGTGCCTGCACATCTGCCTGTTCTCCAAAGCTTGTTATCAGGAGTGGAGTTTTTCACAAGGGAGAACTTTCCTGTGCAGAAGAGGACTAAGCAGGGTGGGCAAAGAAAAGAGGGCAGCGGATGGTCACGTCAGTCTGAAGATTTGCTGCACAATTATGAGGTCTTTTTCTGCACCCACTTCTCCCAGACATTTCCAAGAATATCAGATTCTTCTCTGAGTAAATGGTGTGGCCATGGGGACTCCTGATGCTTTGTAACACACAGTAAGAGGGAGGAAAAAACCCTACGTGGGGCCAGTTGGGTACCAGTGGAGGAAATCTATCGTTTCTGTTTACATACAGCTCTGTTGGGATGGAGCTGGCTGCTGCCATAGCAAGCAAGAGAACCTTCCCAAGGGCTTCCAATCTGTTTCAAACTTCAGGTTGTACCTGGTGACAATAGAGGGCGAAACCCTTTCTCAAATGGTGAGCCTGTGGACTTGCAACCTGATGGACTGGTGTATGCACTGTGGGAATTAATGGAGGAGCTATCCATCGGGTGGGAATGATTGCAGTCTTAAAATACAGCCAATCTGATGTCCTCACCTTCAATTCTTCCTCACATGCTTTGGCTTCCAGTATGCAACTCTGAACACAGCCTACAACTGAGTTGCTGGCTTGCTGGTGAGGCATCCCACACTGGACTGGGGAGAAAACGTTGCTCCCTGCTCACGTGTCTTTGTCTGTCTACCAGCCCAAGCCAGAACTGATACTATCTTAAGGTAAGCAGACTTTGTGGGCACAGCTCAGTTCCTCCTAGAAAATGAGCCTGCACATTAAACAGCCACAGTAATTTCTGTGTGCTCATCTGGAGAAGGTCATATCATCTTCTAATGGGACACAGGTTAACAATGCTACAGTAACCGTAGGATAATGCAGGGAAAGGGTTGTTATAAGGCCATAATTCAGTCAATGACTGCTGATAACATAATAAACCATGAGAGTGAACACCAAGTGCTTGTGTGCCTTGCAAGGCTCTGTCACTGATTTACAGCCTCTGGAGATGCCTATCAGCCCGTGCATTGTTATCAGGGATATATAAAGCCTGAGCACACCCTATTAAACATTAACATTTTTAAAGACCCAGATGTGTTAAAACTCAGGCTGCTCCTTGCTAATGGATTTTGCTTGCCCTGACAAATGCCACTGCAAAAAGAAATCAAAAGCTTCCCGACTTTGACCTCTTTCAATTTTTCATCATTATTGCATTGCTTTATTGGATTACACCCACTTCTTCCCACCCTGACAATCTGTATTTCTGCAGGATCACTATAGGGTGGTGATCAGTATCTCAGGTGTTCACTGTGCTCATTTTCATACAAATAACTTGTTTCTTTTCACTTATCTGTCAAATCAGTGTGGGTTGCAAATCCACTTTGAGAAGAAAGACTCCTGAAAAAATATTTTAAAAAATCATTATTTCACTGCAAAAAAATTTTTTTAAAGACTCATGGGGGGTTTTTTTACATATTCTGGGCTGAAAGAATTTATGTGATGGGTCTGGTCACTGAGAGAAGAAAATGAAAAATATCCGTGTATGGGATTAGTGCATTGTTCCTGTGCAGAGCCTAAGGTGACAGTATTTTCCACCCCTGTTAAGCATTTACCATTCTTGGGAACTTTGCTGCTTTTAAAAGCCGCCTTCTTCTACTGAATGAATGCCTTTCCTTCCTTAGTCTCATTCAGTGAGAAAATACAAGGGAGATCCCAGGGTTTGGTGCTGGTAATGTACTTTTCAATATGCATATCTACAAAAATATTTGCAGTAAAATCCCTTGTGACTGTAGCCAGAAGCATGGTCTCCCAGATCTCACATTTACACCAAGTCACAGCAGCCTGACCTGGGAAGTCAGTATTGAGAAGGTCAGGTTTTGAAGAGTTGATTTTCAAAATACAACTGATCAAATCCAATGCCTTGTCATAGCTCCAAGGATTTTTCTGTTCTGGGTCTCTAGCCTCAGTCTGTCTCAACGAAGTAATGCAGAAATTGTATTAATCCAAGAGAAATTTGGGGCATATCATGAAGGCTGATTAGGAGGTAGGTATCTACAGAGCCAGGGGCCCAGCATCTTATTTTTGGGCCCCTGTCTGGATGCAGGTAGAGATCTGGATTTAGATATACCAGAATTGCAACTAGCAACGTAAGATAAAGGTTTGCTTTGCATCTCAGTGCAGCGTTACTATTGCTACAACAGTCCTCTCTAACCTGATGAGGTTTTGGCTCAGTAATAACATAAAATGAGCTATCACTCTGTACATCTTCACAGAGCGCATAACATATTAAGGCCCTGACCTCAACGGCATGAAACTACAATTTCCCTGTAAGTGCAAAACAATAATACTTCATTAATCATCCACAACAAAAATCCCCATTCCCCAGACTATTCTGGCAATATTCTGCATTTTTGCTTGTCTAGGAACCTGAATTAAAAGGGAGAAAAATGGTTTACAACAGCCCGTGGCAGTGATGTAGCAAGAGACCTTATGTAAGAGCTGGCGGCATGCTCGCCTTGCAAGGGTGAGGTGTAGGAATGAGTGATCCTGGAAGGATGTTTCTCTGAGGTGTGTTCTGTGCCTGGGCTGGGAACAGCAGTCTCAAGGGCACAAATTCCAGCATCTGAATGTGCTTGGTCTTGTTCATCTCATTAATTTCTTACAGCTATCCCAAGTGAAGCTACAAAATCCCTGAGTACTTTACTCAAAGCCTTTCATGGCTTGTCAATAAATTATTTTCAAATTAACTACCTGATAATTTGAATCTGCAGGCTCTTAAAAGATGCAGCGTGGTGCAAGAGAAAAAAATAATGGAAGTCACCGACTTTGCCCATAAAAAAGAACAAAGGTTCTTCTCTGAAGTATTATTCAGTTTGGTGCTTCTGAAAAGTAGTGGTAAGTGTGTAATAACTCATTCTGAAGAGACATTTGTACAACTAACAGATAAACACCAATAGTGGAATAAGTTTTCAGCATTATCTGACAACATTGTAAAAGAGCAAACAGTTTTTAAATGTTAGTTTTGTCCATATTTAATGAATCTTTAGTCCCTAACTAATGACTAACAGCTCTGATTCAAGCAAAGGATTTTTTTTTTTAATCTATCAAGCTCTGTGCTTTGAAAGGGGAAGTTCCAAGATTTTCCCTAGTTTGGGAAGCCTTCTAATTTGAGCCTTCTAATTTTTGGAAAGGGCTCAGGACTCCAGACCAGAGATTCTGTGAAACAGTGCCTTGCAAATTATCTGATTTCTCTTGTACAATGGGCACTTTTTTACTGAAGCAGCTATTTCAGGTTTCCCTGATGCTGTCAAAGTCTCTCACTTCTTTGAAAGATAATATGGGAAAAACATTTAATTCTCTGTTTATGGCACTGCTTTGTTTTTATTGAATTTCTTTGAAATTGGTTGGCTTAATCTGCAAATGAGATTTTTTTTTTTCTTCACATTGGTTATCTAACAGGGGTTTCATTTGATCTCCTTGGGAAAAATACATCCTTAACTGCTAAAGCACATGTATTAGGTTATATGACAGCATGTACCTTTAAAGGAAACTCTAGAAGACACAACTGGCATTTGAAATAAAAGCATTAAGTAACTATAACCAAATACCTGCTACTATACCTGACCTGAAGGTGGGTAACTACAAAATTTAAGTCTCCAAAGACAGGCAGTTAATAAATAGGTAATAAAAATATTTGGATATAATAAAATATATCAAGTTGATATAGCCTTTGCCTAGAATCATGGAATTGTTTAGGTTGGAAAAGACCTTTAAGATCATTGAGACCAACTGTTCCCCAGCACTGCCAAGGCCACCACTAAACCATGTCTCTCATCACCACATCTACAAGCCTTTTAAATCCCTCCAGGTATGGTGGCTCCACCACTGCCCTGGGCAGACTGTTCTAGGGCTTGACAACCCTTTTGAGGAAGAAATTTTTCTTACTATACACAGTGCCGCTCAACTGGGTGTCATCTAAAGACTTACTGAGGGTTCCACCAAACCCCTCATCCAGATTGTTGATAAAGATAATAAACAGAACTGGAATGAATTGTCACTGTCTGTCTGGGAATAATTCTGCTGTGGGATTCCTGCACATCTTTTTCCTTTGACTTCTTCCTTCATCACATGGGGAACCAGCAAAGTCAACCACTGTGCCAGAAAGTAAGGAACACAATTTGGGCAGTTTGCTAAAATCGAGTGCCTTGACACTTCAGTTAAACTTGTCCAGATGAACCAAAGCTGCTTCTCTGCTGCTCAGTTCTCTGAGATCTGGGAGACAATTTGCTGCATGTATTTATGAAAGAGGCGTATCTCCCTTTTACCGCCAAGTGTTGTAACGAAGTCAAGTGGAAAAGTGCCATTTGCCGTATAATAAAAACCCTCTATTGTTCATAGAAATGAACACCTAATAATAAAACCTTAAATTTCAGGCTGTTTAAACCAGTTGCTTATGTAATAGAACACGGTGTAATTTTCCATTTAGAATTTCAATACTGTAATAAGAAAGCAATCAAGGCATAAACAAAACACACTTTAAACAGGGCTGCAGGTAGTATTTCCATAATGACTGTCCTTAAAAATTGAAGCTATTTCTCTTTTTTTTTTTCGCCAGCCTCAAATTCTTTCTACTTAGCTCAGTCATTTAATTAAAAGAAAAATCAACTTAAAACAGATGAAAGACTGTCTGAAACCAATTGCAGCTATTAGCAAAGAAGAAAAAATACTACTGTAATCCTCTGTTAACACTTGGGTAGGTTAAATTAAAGCCATATCTCATCCTCCTTTCAGGAGGAGACTGTAGATCTGCAGAAAGTGTGCTGTAAACCTGCAGGCAATAGGGATGTTTTTCTTGATTATCCATCTTGAGGATCTGGAAGTTCACCATTTCCCAAGCATCTGCCAAAAACTGCTTGGTTTTACCAGCCTCATCAGCATTCATGCCACGTGATGGGAACCCTCCTGCTCATCCATCCTTTGTAGGAGGCATAAAATAACTCTGTGCTGTCCATCGGGTTTGTGAACGGCATTAAACCGTGGGGATTAATGAGGGATAAGCAGTCATGTTACTGCGACCACGGGCAGCCGATGGCAGAGTTTGTGTCACTGCAGTGGGACGGGGATGGCTCCTCCAAATCCCTGCTGGGTTTTTAAGGGAAGTTCATACTGCCTCCCTGCAAGTGTTACCCCCAGGGCTCTGGGATCGCCCCAGCCAGGGCTGGGTCCTGAAAAATGTGCCAGCACTCTCAGCAGTGGCGGGTGAGGAACTTGTTCTTCATGGCAGAGGGGAAGGAGGAGCCCGGCCTCAGTCTGGTCCCTGGATAGAAACAGGAGAGACTCGCTGGGGCTGGATCCTATATGAAGGGGTTTGCTGACACCAGGATCCAAGTTTGGCTCTTTCCCCCTCCATTTCCAGCTGAACAAGCACCAGGGACAGACTGTTTTTCCAGGCCCCTCCACAGACAGGCGGCCCATGACCATCGCTCTCTCCCACCCATTCACAGAATCACAGAAACACGAGCTATCCTGTGCTGGAAGGGACCCACAAGGATCATCAAAGCCCAACTCCTGGCCCTGCCCAGAACAACCCCGAGAATCCCATGGAGCGTTCAGAAGGGAATGAGGACAAAAACACGGGTTTTTATGGGGAGGAATCGGTTTATTCCGCAGAGGCTGACGAAGCCCCGAATGCAGGGAGGCGAACACTCCCGGCCAGACTCTCCTGTCGGGGCCCAGTCCAACACGGCGGGCGGCGGCGGCGTCTCCATGGCGACCGGCACATCGCCACGGTTGCCGTGGCAACGGGGGAACGCCGCCATCGTGGCGGGCGGCCCCGCCCCGGTCACGTGCCGCTCGGCGCGCTCGGCGCGCGGCTGCCCCCGGCGGCGGGACGGACCGACGGACCGGGCAGGGACCGACGGACAGGAACCGCGGGACCGTCCGTGTGTCCCCCTCCCCTTCAACGCCGGCGACATGTCCACCGCCATGAACTTCAGCACCAAGAGCTTCACGCCGCGGCCGCCGGACAAGGGCGCCTTCCCGCTGGATCACTTCGGTGCGGTACCGCGGCCGGGCCTGGCCCTCCCCTCACCCCCCTCGCCCTTCCCGCGGGCACGGTGGGTGTCACGGCCCCGGTGGGTGTCACGGCCCCTCGCGGTGTGTTGCAGGGGAGTGCAGCGCCTTCAAGGAGCGGTTCATGGAGTGTCTCCGGCACAGCGGCTACGAGAGCGCGGCCTGCCGGCAGCGCGCCATGGCCTACCTGGAGTGCCGCATGGACAGGCGAGTGTGCCGGCAACACCGGCCCTGCCCGACCCGGGGGCCAGCCCGGTGGTCCCCTTTGCGGGGACGGGAGGGGCAGGCAGCCCGCAGTCACACAGGAAGGTGTCCTTGAAGGTGCCCCGTGCGGCATCACCGTCCCTCGGCTCGCGTTTCCACGTTATCCGGCCCGTAGGGTGGGATAAGGGGCAGCTTCCATCCCGCACAACCGCACTTCTCCATGCGAAGCCTAATTTTTTATTTCCAACTGGCTACAAGTTAAACTTTTAACTTGCACGTACTTGGTTCGCTTCCTGCCTGCCCTTCTTAATCAGCTCTATCTTTAAAACCCCCAGTATGTGTTTGTATAACTTAACCATGAATTATGGTTAATAATATGCCGTTCTTTTATTTATAGACTGTGTTCTCTAAAAAGTTTTTTTTTTTGTTTTCTTCTTTTGAACTTAGGCAGCTTATGGCTAACGAACCACTGGAAAAACTGGGATTTAAAGACCTGATAAATGAGAAAGCAGAAGAAAAACCTGAAAAGTCGTGATGAAGACACACAACTTTGCTCCTCATGTAGGGAAAGCATAACTCTAAATGTAGTACATATTGTACCTTCTATTCATATTGCAATAGGAAATGTTTCCTAAAGGAACATTTTTTTCCAGAGTTTAATTTTCCTAAAATAAGATTTTTTTCTTTAATGAGCAGAAGTACTGCCTTTGTCTGCTCTGCTCAAGTATTTCTTAACTTCTTTCTTTTAATTTCTCTAGAGGGAAAACAGTTACTGCCTGAAGTGTTCCCCATGTCTCTGTAAGAACAGTGAAGCCTTATTTTAAAAGGACAAAAACCCCAAACCAAACAACTCTTTATTGTGTAGAACTTGAACTACTGATTAATCTTGTGTGGGCAGTACTAATATGCTCACAGCAGTTACTTGTTAAGTGGAAATAAAGCTGTTGTGGTACTTGCAAATTGCTTTTCATTAAATACTGGTATTAGTGCCCATCTTTGGGGTGATCTCCTTCTCACCCTGCTATGGAAGACACTTGGGGTGGGGTGTTTTTTTTTCAGTCTTAAAAATCTTCCATCATTGGCAGGAGAGTATTTCTAGTTCAGATACCAGTCGGGTAGTGATTCTGCTTTACCATACCAGCAGTGTTCACCTAAACTTCATTTCATCATTTAACTGAGAATCTTTCATTCTGAATACATTCACTTTCCCAAATGGAGCTGTCATATGTTTTGAGATTTTAATATCTTTATGGTGAAATCAGTGTGGGGACAGAAATGGTATTTATTTGTGCTCTAAGTGACAAAATATACATAATGTGATTGGACTGTTTTATTCTTTTAAAATCAAACATTTTATATTAAAAACCAGGGTAGATCAGGACCTAGCTGTCCAAGAAATCCAGTGTTTCTTTCCAAAACATATGGCTGCGACCCATACATTGAGAAGGCCATGCAGCAGGTGAGCAATCAGCTCTCAGTGTGTCTTTAAGATCCCTGATATGTGTTTGTATAATTTAACCATGAATTACCAGAGCCATTCTCTTGCATTTAGTAATGCAGTTGAATCTTTCTTATTAATGTTCAGTTCAAGAAGAAATAGTTTGGCCTGTTAGCCCCTTAGAAATGTGTTTCAAGCTGGCAATAAATTTGCAAATTCTCTAGATGTATTTTCTGCCCTGTCACCTCTGCTTCTTTTGTTTTTGCTTTTACCCCAGTGACTCGTTTCTCTGTCTATCTGGTTCTTGAACGTTAAGCTTTAGGGTCAGGGCCTGCAGCCAGTGATACAAACAGTGATCTGTTTGCCAAGGCAATTCTCCAACACTTTCCTCTTTATTTGGTGTCCTCTCTTTGATTTATCTCCCCTTCCCTGCTGTCTGCTTTTGCTTCTGCTTCTCTCCACTGTGCATCTGCTCATACAGAACTCCAGGAAAGAGTGGAAGAACATATTCTGCTTTTCATATTGATCATTGGAGCTGAGATTTAAATTGTTGCTCAGGTCTAATCTGATGGAACAGAGTGCACACAGCTCAGAGCAGGTTCCTGTTTGAAAAGAACATTCGCCTGCTGCTGCATATTTTTATTCTACTTCATTCTACTGTTCAAATTATATCCTTTGGTGAGATTAGTACATTTATAGAAAAGAAAGAAGAGATTGTATTTCTGCAACAGATATTAAAAGACTTTATATTAAACCACTGAACAAGGGCTTCCTTTCAGTGATACCAAGTCAGAATTAAAATAATCTCCAGCATCTGCAGAAGAAAGAAATCAAATTTCATGCTTCTGTGCTCCTTGAATATTATAAGGTGAAGTGAATTCCTGGTAGGTGTGAAAGAACCCACCAGTGGTGGGGGAGTAATCTGGGCTGTTATCAAGGGTAGTTTCATTTTTTGGGTGTTACTTTCCACTGTCGTTTGGCCAAACAGTTCCTTTACAAGTTCAGTCCATGTTTTTCTGAGACATTGATACCAGCTCTGTCCTCTGGGTTGTTCCAGAGTAAAAGGGGTAAAGCTTTTGAGGTGTTGAGTGGTTGCCACCCTAAAAAGGGACGGTGGGGGTGAGAGGTTTCACCTTTCACCGACCCTAAGATCACATCCTCATCCTGTCCAGATCCATAGGCACCTTTTGTTCTGCTTTCCAG